TCACGTAAGCCGCCGGGGACGAGGATGGCGCGTGCTCCAGCGAGGACGAGCGAGGCGTGATTTTGATGAACTAATTTAACTTTTGTTTATCCAAACATATATGCAAATCATCATGTGATTTTGAGCTAAAAATGACATATAAAATCATAATAAAGTCCAACATATAAAGTTACACATGCATCTACATCACAAAATGAGATAAGCTACTGATAAAACATAAGAGGATTAAGTTTGTTACCTCCAAAATCGAAGAGCAACACCAATGGAGGGGGAGAGAGCAAGAACAACAGCAAGCTGAAGAACAGAGGCAGTGAGTTTGAATGGAATGACTCGGGCTCGGGGAGGAAGAAATGAGCCGATGTATAGGCCGGCATAATTAGTCCTGGTTAGGTGGCCAAACCGGGACTAAAGATTAATATTTATTCCCGGGGTATCACCCAAACCGGGACTAAAACCTTTAGTCCCGGTTGGTAATACCAGCCGGGACTAAAGATCTCTGCCACGCGGACGACAGTTGGGCAGGGACCTTTAGTCCCGGTTGGTATTACGAACCGGGACTAAAGGGTCATTTAGTCCCGGCGGCAAAAAATGCCGAGGCTAATGCCAAATTGGGACATCGTTCTAAAGTCTGTTCTCTAGTAGTGTCCATAACCCACACCACCCCAGAGCTTCACGTGCCTCCAGCTAAACCCGGCCCGCCGACGCCACCGCTTGCAAGGCTGCACCACCACACATGCGGCACCTCACAGCCAGACCTTGACCCCTTGACCGCGTAGCTGCCACCCACACACACCTTGCCCAGCGCCATGCCAGCCTTGACATCTCATCGATGATCTCGCCCGGAAAAATGAATAAGAGGGATTTTTTTTCCTTCCCACACGCTGCCAAGAGCACTAGAGGCCACGTCATCAAAAGCTGCCAACATGAATTGCCACATATGCAAAACCACCTAGAGGGTTATTTGTCTGGTTTCACAAAGTTTAATGTGCATAATATCTAGTCACTACGTGAAAAACGGTTTGTAGCAACGTGACAAATTTATTTTTGTAGGGGCGTCTAGTGATAGAGCCGCCCCTACAGTGGAGTGCTCAGGAGCCACGAGACCAGCCGCCTCTACAAATGAAACAGTAGGGGGCGGCTGGTGATACGAGCCGCCCCTACAAATGGGTGGGATTGTAGGGGCGGCTCACTCACCAGCCACCCCCGGTGTTGCGATTTGTAGGGACGGTTCAATCACCAGCCGCCCCTACAAATGCCGCCGTCAAAACCCGCAGGCTCCAAACCTGGGCTTGGGCCTCACTTTCGCTTATTGGCCACTGAAACCCGTAGGCCTGTTAAGGTTGTCAACGATCTAAGCCCTTGATCCGAATCCAACGGCCGAAGTTCGCCCCACCAGGAACAAAACTAGCTCCACCCGCCGGACTTCCCAAACCCTAAGGTTTCATTCTCACTTATCCAACCTCTCTCTCTCTATCTCTCTCACCCGACGGCGCACTCTCTCTCTCTCTCCCCCTCACTCGCACAGCTCTCTCTCTCTCTCCCTCAGATGCCTACCTCTCTCTCCCTCTCTCGGTGCCGCGGTGGCGGCGCTCGGGGCGGTGGCACTTGCCCACCTTCCCTCCGTGGCGAAGGCGCATAGGATGGTCCCAACTGGCGGCGGCGTGCGGGGCGGCCACCACCCCCTGCGGCAGCGCGCGTGACGGCCCGTACCGGTGGTGGCGGCACGCGTGGCGCCCCCCGACAGCGGATCTAGGTCGGTCGTGCCCCCCGACGGTGGATCTAGAGCAGGCGCGCTGCCCGACAGTAGATCCAGGGAGAGCCCATCCTCCAAGCGGCAGATCTTGGGTGGTGGCGTCCCCGGTGGTGGATTGAGGGCTGGCACAACCGGATCTGAATCCGATGCGAGCTCCAGCAGGCCCGCGAAGGCGTTAGCGGAGGGCCGTAGCTTTTCTCCCGATCTTTCGCGCTTCCCCGTTTTGACGCTTGCTCCCCATGGGGATTCTGGAGATCTTCGGGGCGGTTCGCTGCTGAGATGGTTCGCCGCATCACGCGCTTCTGTGACTCTCAATAGGTAGGCTTCCCTAGACTTTCCTCTTTCTTACTCCGATCTGTTGCACGGAGCAGCTGGGGAGTACTATTCACTTGCCTTCTCTGGCTGGCTGAGAGCGTGAGCTCGGAGGAGTCCCTGATCTAGCCGAAGATTGGATTTTTGTGGGGTTGATTTGAGGTGTTTTTTTGTTGCCCGATTTGGTGGTGTGGGCTTTCTTCCTTCCATTTTTGTAGCATCTGTCTTGTGTGCTGCTTTCGATTTTGTGGGATTTCTAGTCCATATCTCGCACTAGTGATGACTTGCTTGACTAGTTTCTTGACTGGTTTCCTGTTCTGTTTCTCATCGTTGCTTCAGTTCTTCCGATCCGAGGAGCCCCGGTGATGAACAGCATGCCGATCTCTGCGTCCTCTGCGGCAGGCATCGACGGCAGCGCGGTGGCGACCGGCACGCCCATGAAGAATGCGACGGCGGCCGCCGCTGTCGCAGAGATGGCGAGGCATCTCACCGTCGACACGGACGACGCCTTCGTGGGCCTGCTGGAGCTCGCCGCTGACGACAAGCGGAAGAACTTGTTAAATTTGGTTAATCTAAATATGATAATAGATGTAATGATATTGGGTTGTGCATATGCTCAGATTTAAATTATATATATATATATATATATATATATATATATATATATATATATATATATATATATATTCTGATCGAATTTGAATTATAAATTTGATTTTTTTACGAAAAAATGTACTGTAGGGGCGGCTGGTACTACGGCCGCCCCTACAAATCAATTTTGTAGAGGCGGCTGATGTTCCCTACAAATCGATTTGTAAAGGCCGTCCACCAGCCACCTCTACAAATCGATTTGTACGGACGGTTTAGGAACCGCCCCTACAAATACATGGTTTGTAGAGGCGTTTGGGTAGGGGCAGCTGGACAAACCGCTCCTACAGAGCCTCTAGAGCTGCCCCTACAAAGGTATTATGTAGTAGTGAGTGTTTGTAGTTTAGGGGTTATGTAGACCACCCTAAATATGTTAAGAGGTTTTACATAGAATTTTTCTAAATAAATAAATAGGACTGAGATGTCGGATAAGTAGTGCTCACCTTCCGGATGAGGCGGAAGCGGGGTAAATGTAGGCTGAGGTTACTAAGATTGATGAATCGTGTGAGGATGCTTTATATGCTAGTTCCAAAATTATGTCCTTGTTTAGTTGGACCTCAAATTCCAAAAAGTTGCTACAGTACTTGTCACATCGAATGTTTGCGGTCCGTGCATGAAGTATTAAATGTAGACGAAAAAAACTAATTGCACAATTTGATGGGAAATTGTGAGACGAACGTTTTGAGCATAATTAGTCCATAATTGAACACTATTTACCAAATAAAAACGAACGTGCTACAGTAGCCCCAAAATCCAACTTTGGCGCACTAAACGCGCGCTATATCGGTGAAACACATCACCAGAAACGTTAACGGTCAGAGATGTGATTTGAGGGAGTTGTGGTACCATACTTTTTATCATGTCCACGTTTGTCTTGGATGTCTGTTGACCTATAAGAGTCACGTCAAGGGATGTGATTGAGGCCCAGTTTAGTTACCCCTAAAGTTTACTTTTAATCTCATCAAATGTTTAAACACATACACGGAGTATTAAATATAGACTAAAAAAATAATTAATTATACAGTTTGTGACTAATTTACGAGACGAATTTTTTACGCCTAATTAGTCTATGATTTGACAATGTGGTGCCACAGTAACACATGTGCTAATGATAGGTTAATTAGACTTAATAAATTCGTCTCACGGATTACTGACGGATTCTGTAATTTGTTTTTTTATTAGTATCCGAACACCCCATGCGATACCCCCATGTGACAACCGATGTAACACCCAAAATTTTATACCCCCCATATAACAACCGATGTAACACCCAAAATTTTATACCCTGGATTTAAACAAGGCCCAATATACATTGGCCAAGGAGGCGTAGGTTGATCTCGTTTGCGGCGGCCAAGACAGGAGCCGAGGAGCAACCGGAATAGGAACTGCGAAATGCCCGCAAGCAGATCTTGAGGCTTCGCACGCACGGCAATTTGCCATCAACCTCAAGTCACCTAGGCGGGTATCCTAAGCGAAAGAATGCAAGTTCTTCCAGCCTCGGAGCCGAGACCGTAAGCTTCTCCACGGCGCATTGGTCAATGTGGAAAATCCGGAGGCCGGGAGTTGTCAACTTCATCGAGAAGCACCACGGGGGGCGGCAGGAACGGGCATGTCGTCTTGCCTTCCTGTTCCTCTCAAGGTTCTGGGATTCAAATGACAAATAATTTCGGACCTGACCGAAATGGGTGAATCTTGAAATTTTTGGGAATTTTGGACCGGGATTCAGTCGTTTTGACTAGTCAAACTGTTCAAATTTAGCTAATATTTGATTGAATTTTGGCCAAAATTTGATAAAAAAAGCATGAAGATGAAATGAACTAATTATAGTTTGGTAAATTTGCAATTCTACATTGAAATAAGAACTTGTAGGCATGTTTGAACTCTAGACTTGACTGAAAAATCGAATTTAACTGAAATTTTTGGCTGTTTCGGTCCTCACCTAATTGGGTGTATTTCACCGAAATTCGGTGATTTCGGGGCGAATTCCATATCCATGGTTCCTCTTCCTCCTTCAACTTTAGGGGCACGCCGACGCCTATACGAGGTAGCACTTCAAACCGTGCAGGTCCATGATGAAGGACTTCAAACCGCCAGCCTGTTCGGTTGGCTGTCTCGTTTCGTTGCTGGTTCGTGAAGAAGTACTGCTGGCTGGTTTGTGTGAGAGAAAAATACTATTCCGGCTACAAATTTACGATCGTTTACGACAAGCCACGGCCAAACGAAGAGGCTGCGCGTCGTCGGAAAGCGTGCTGAATCCACCCTTGCGCAGCATCGACGAATGCCGACGTCACTTGTTCGCGCGGTTTGTAGCCGTATCAGAGCCCGTGGTATAAGAGATCACCAGGCTTTCGATGGCGCAGTCCGATTGGGCACGCCGGGCAAGGATGTCGTTGACGCAGGAAACGAACTGCTCCAGTGCGGCGCACCGCTTGGTGGCGATGTCGGCTGCCATGGACACCGCCGGCGAATGGTCGCGCTGGTCAAGGACGTCGCGGAAGGAGGAAACGGGGTAGTAGTAGTCCGGCTCGTCCGATGCGTCGCACCGCTCGGCGAGGATGTCGTTGACGCAGGAAACGTACTGCCGCTTCAGTGCGGCGCTGCAGGCTGCCGTGGACGCCGCCGGCCAACAGGAGGCGAAGCGGAGCTTCGGGATGCGCTTCGATAGGCTGAGCCACCGCCGCGAGAGCACACACGTGCGCAACGCGTCCCTCGTGTCGCCCACCAGCTCGAGGACGCGGAGCAGCACGTCCTCGTCGAGGCCGCTGATCAAGTCGACGTCGCCGGCGCCGGATGTTCGTTTCGCTTCGCGCGCGCCGTCCGCCGCTGTGGAACCCATGCTGTTGCTGCGCGAGTCGAGATTGGCGGCGAGGCAAGCAGCTAGGGCTCGCTTCTACCGAGGCTCAGATTGGGCGAGATTATGGCCAGTCTCGGTGAAACAGCTATAAATGAAAGGAAACTTTTGAACGAAACACCCACTCTTATCGAAGAGTTTCATTCCATTATTTTACAGACATTTAATTTTAAAACTCATACAATGTTGGTAATCATGCTAAGAGAGTTTCATCAAGATAAAACCCATTTCTTCTCTATCTTCCTAAATGCACTGCCACATCATCAAAAATACTTATGTGGCAATCTATTCAATACAAATAAAACTCACATAAAACTCTCACCGAAACTGGACTAATAATTGGACCACAGGAGGCGAATTAATCGTGTCGCGTTTTGTTTTATAATCTGTTAATAACGCGGTTCATGTCCGGATCGGAGAACACCCAACGCAGCCGAAACGCGTTGCGATCAGATATCCCACTCGAAACAAATACTCTCTGGCCGGCTGGCCTTATTTTGGTATTTTATATTGGACGTTATTAGCGTCTGGATGTTCGGAGCCTAAAAAATATCGGACGCCTTCGTTCAATCACGCATGAGGCCAAGACGCAAGCGAAAAAGCCCACGTCGCCTCTTTTCAAGTGCCCCACCGTGTGAACTCCAAGCTGCGTACCGCCCTACCATCGTGATCGTCTTCTGGCCTCAGGCACCCGCACAACAAACCACGGCACACCTCAGCAGCTGCAGCATGCGGTTGTAGTAGGTGGGTCCCATTACAGCACCTGAACTATTTTTGCAACATCAAAATGAAATACTCACATCATATGTCCGAAACAGATGAAACACTTGCAACATACGTTCTGAAACACATGCAAAACAATAGAAAAAACTTGAAAGCATGTGTGTAGCGATTGCAAACATATGCAAGCATCAGGATGAAACACTTGCAACATACGTACGAAAGCACATGAAACTCATGCATATTTATGCAACGTCCAAATGAAAACACTTGCAACATACGTATGAAACAGATGAAACATTTGGAACATATACTTAAAACATACGTATATAGCCATTGCAACATGTGCAACATTCCAATCTACTTTTGCAATATACAGATGAAACACTTGCAACATATTTCTGAAACACTTGAAATATACGCTTGCAACATGCGATATATCCCAGTATAGCCTCCTCCACCATCTGCAACGGGGCACAACAGCCGTAGCAGGAGGCGAGTCCGGAGGGCCCGACGCTTCTACTTGCACCGGTGGCCAGAGGCGGAAGCAGGGGGCAGCAGGGGCCACGGCCCACCAGTGCCGGGTGGAATCAGTGAACGAAATGGGTCAGTTCATCCTCTTAGGGCGTGATTGGTTGCCCGAACCGGACCGTCATTTGGCCCATCCCGCATCCTTTGGTGCATTTGCCTGTGTTTAGTTGCCCTACTCGCATCTTTCTCCTGCTTCCCTCCGTGCAGATTCGCTCCTCCATCTCGGACGGCGCCGTCTTCTCGATCCCCACTTCCCTCTCGATGTAGGCTCGCTCGGTGTTTGGCGGGAACCTTCGCGCCGAGCACGGGAGATGAGGCCGTCCGGGCCATAAAGCGCGCGCGCGGGTCTCGGCTAGGGTTACCGCCCTTACTCTTCGCCTCTCCTTCTGCCATAGCTCCGGTGCAAACTCCCATCTTGCTCCCCCTCGACCTCGGTAGCCCTACCGAGACGACCCTCGCCGGTGGATTTCTCTCGGTCTTCCGGCGCTTAGACGGTATATATGCCACCTGCGCTCTTCCCCTCCTCTTTCTTCACTGTCGATTTTGTTGATTTGTTGGTGGATTTTGCTTGAAATGCCAAGAAATCAGGGTTCTTGGTTTGACATCCTTAGATATGTACGATGCTATACCTGATTTACATGTTCCTAGCTCAGATCTGTACATGATGCTGCGTATTTGGTTTATACCTCATGTTTTGTGTAGATCTTGTACATGCTGATGCCTATTTTGTTGTACACACTGAGCAAAGTGTCTAGAGGTCAATGATGTTGATTGTGTAACAGTATACGCTGGAGGAGCACCCTTTGGTGTGGCAGCCGCGTCTTTCATAGTTCATTTTGTCTGATTTTTTGCTTGCTAAGCAGTACACACCCATGTTGCATGCTCCCTTTCTAATGTTGCCCTCCATCCTGTTGGTAGACATGGCATTTGAAGCTAGGCGAAGGGCTGCCGCTGTTGTGGTTGTTGCAGTGGCTGCTTGGTTTTTCATGTGGTTTAGGAGGAGAGTTGAAAATTTGCGCTCAGTCACCTATTGTCCCTTGGCTGAGAGGGACAAACAGAGGATGAACAACCTTAGATACATCTATGAATCTGATGATGTGCCCTGTGTCAACCTTCTTAGAATGAAGAGGACCCTTTTTTTCAACTTTGTGACCTTTTCCGTAGTAGAGAGCTTGTCACTGATAGCATACATGCATCTGTTGAAGAACAAGTAGCCATGTTCTTGCATGTTGTTGGTCTAGGGTGGTTGACCACACCTTCAGGAGGTCCGTAGAGACAATTAGTAGGTTCTTCCAGAAAGTGTTATATGCGGTAGGAGAGCTGAGGAATGAATTGATTGTCCCTCCTGCTACCAATGTCTATGCTAGGATCCTTGGGAGCAGAAGGTAGTACCCCTATTTAAAGGTTGGTATCCATAACTTGTCATACATAGGTCTCATGCATTATCAGTTTAGTGTCAATGTTCACTTGCACTTATGTTTTTTTAATTAGGACTGCATAGGAGTAATTGATGGTACTCATGTATTAGCTAGAGTGCTTGTGAAGATGTAAGCTGCCTTTAGAGGCAGGAAGCACACCATCACACAAAATGTGTTGGCAGCCGTGGACTTTGACCTCAGATTCACCTATGTGCTTGCTGGTTGGGAGGGATCTGCACATGATGCTCTTATCTTGTCTGATGCTCCTGAAAGAGATGATGGCCTTAGAGTGCCACCAGGTATCATCCAAACCAAAAAAAACCTTTGACACTTTGCTTAATTCTAAATGAAACTACTAAACATATTCCTATCTACTAATTTTTAGGCAAATTCTATCTTGTCGATGCTGGCTATGCAGTGAGGCCTGGTTTCTTGCCACCATTTCGTGCCACAAGGTACCATTTGAGGGAGTTTGGTTCAAACCGACCTCAAAATCAAAGAGAGCTTTTTAATCTAAGGCATTCGTCTCTTAGAGTAATAGTTGAGAGGGCTTTTGGAGCTCTAAAGAATAGATTCAGGATATTGGATAACAAACCTTTCCACACATACAAGACCCAAGTTAAGCTTGTTCTTGCCTGTTGTATTCTTCACAATTGGATCCTCAGTCATGGGCAGGACGAGCATGTGCCTGTTGAATCCACATGGACACCTAACATCAATGACAATGCCTCACAACCAGATCATGTCCCTGACAATGGTATCTGGGCACAACAGAGGGAGGCATGGGCTGCACAGATGTGGCAAAACAGGGGGAATTCTAGGGTGTAGTGGCATGGTGTGTGTACTGTTTAGTAGCATTGGAGAAACTTGTATTTTAACTGAGACCTATGGCACTTTGCAATGATGTAGTACCTATTCCTTTTCTACCTATTTGATCTGTTGAACTTGTATTTCATACCTTGCAATTTGTTTTTCTTACGTACTGGTTGTTCAATGTTATGGTGGTTGTGGATAGGAAATGGACAATATGCCTAACTAGGTTGTTAACATTGGTGGTGAGGACAATGTGGTGGAACAGGGTGGGGTAGTTGTTGCTGATGGTGGCAACCAAGCAGCCCCTCAGCCCAATGGCCCTATGCACTGGAGTCCTGTCCAGTCTAGGTTCATGCTTAGGAGGTTCCATGATTTGGTGGGGCAGGAGGTCAAAACTGAGAAAGGGTTCAATGAGGTACATGTTAGGCAGGTTGCACTCATGGTCTCTGAGTTTGCTAGGGTCAATATGACCACCCAGCAGATTTACAATCAACTGAGAAAGTGGATGCAAAGGTGGGTTAAGGTTGTTAGGCTCAAGGATTTGAGTGGTGCTTTGTGTGATGAGGACCACCATATGATAGTACTTGATGATGAACACCTGCTTGACCACACCAAGGTTAGAAACTGTTTGTATAACACCTCAATTATCCCTTTTCTTTTCTTTTGCTCCCATGTGTCTAATAGTTACATCTGTTTCACTAACTAGGACCATCCTGCTGATGCTAAGTTCTTGAACACACCAATAGAGAACTATGTTCAGATGGAGGCCATCTTTGGTGGTAACCAGGCCACAGGCAGGTATGCAATGGGCTCAAATGAGCCTTTGGGTACTCCAACCGACATTGGCCAAGGTGATATTGATACCATTGAGGACATCACTGACTTAGGTGGCACAGAGGCTGATTCTAAAAAGAGAACTTCTTCTGATTTGGAAGGCTCTAAGGGTTCTGATGCCAAGGACCATGAGGAAAGGGGTGGCAAGAGAAGGAAGCTTGCCCCAGAGGAAATAGATCTCATGAATGGAATGATCAAGGCTGTGGCGTCTGTAGGAGATGCCCTCAAGACTCCATAGCATAATGAGGTGCATCAGGATCTTTATGGCTGTGTTATGGACTGCCCTGGGTACTCACAGGAGGCACTCATGTTTGTCCTGGTTTACCTGCTAAAGAACAAGGCTGAGGGACTTTGCTTTGTTCAGATGACAGAGCCTCATAGGATCATGTGGCTTAGGACCTACCTGAGCACAACCTACTTTGCTTAGATGCATACGAGTTGGCCTCTCCACTTTTGCATATAGCCATGCTAACTGTCTTATGCTGTAGGAAGTATTTTGACGTGTAGCACTTACCTCAACTGATGCTACAAAGAACCATTTGCCGCCTAACCAATGCTACACCTAGTCTGGAATAGCATAGGAGCCATGGTGATGGATGTGAGGCTTTGTTGATCTATGTGGTGTAGACATTAACAAAGGGTGATTGATTGTCACTTAGTTGATCTGAG